ACTGAACAGATACGAAACAGATCCAGATAAATATCAGGTCATTTCGACAATGAATTATCGATCTCGACTTTCAGAGTCAGTTTTGTCTAATGAAACATATCTATTTGAGTTCAACCATATATTCGATAGTGACCCAGATAAAATATCCCCTTTAACTCTTAAAAACGGATCAAGATTTATATTCTCTTCATCAAGTGATGATGAATCCGGACTCAAACAAGACAAATTCAATACACCAAAGAAGTATAATTACAATACACCTAAAATTAGCAAATCAACAACAAAAATTTCACAAAAAGAAAATTATCAACAATCAACTCCAAAAACAACAACAAATAAAGAAACCCATTCAAAAACCTCGCCTTTTAAACGAAAATTCCTTGATAATTCTAGTTCAGATGATGATAATTATAAATCTACTCCCAGAATCAAAAGAGATAATGCCAAATCAGCCTATAATTATAATAATAAGTTCCTTAAAGGAATTGATTAATTGTTTTATTTTTATATTTATAAATTGTTATATTATTCATCTAGTTATATTTTTCTTTGAATACAATGCTTGGATTATCTTTATCTTCTCGAGTTAAAAATAAATCATCATCAACAGGATCTGTCGTTATAAAAGTACCTTACAAATAATTTATTTGTTTCATCATTTATGGAGTTTGGAGTTACCCAGAGAAATGTATTATCATTACATTGAATACAATAATATAATTTGTTATTATCAGCTCGATGAGAAGTAACACGTACAATAGATTTCCCAGACTTATAAAAAATGAATAATTCTGAACAACTAAACTTGTGAATTAACAAAATTAAAACATAAATATAAATATTTGATGAATATTCAGTGAATTTCATTTTTACTGAAAGTTTTACCCCCATCCTTTTTATTACTTTTGCAATGAGTCAAAAAACTCATTGTTTAAGTGCAATTAATTGCATTCGAGAAGTATTCCCATAGCGATGCTGATCAAGATAGTGTTTGGAACCTTTATTATGAAGGAATTAGTCCTCCTTCCGAAGTTTTTACCGGTGAAGTTGAAAAAGTCACAGCAGCATCTAACAAATGCTTTGCATACATCTGCAAGTTTACCAATCTTCAAGATAGAGCAGTTAAATTCGAATATACAAAAGATTACTCGATTTTACTTTGCGAAAACGTTTTTTCAAAAGGTTCAGGTACAGTATATATTCAAAGTTATAGTAAAAATAACATTATTATTGATAAATTCTGTTCATTTGAAAGTCAAACTCCATCAGTTGGCCAATTTACTTATTTATATGGCGAAATTAACAGTACACTCCTCCAAGGATCAATTTGTAATGGAGGAAATAGTTCAGTATTTAATGATTTACCAATCTCAAAGGTTTTACATCACTTTCAAAAACAAACATTTCTAACTGTATTTCAGCAGCTTCTACAGGTTTTATTATATGAGTTGAATCAACAGTAAATGTTTCATTTTGTAATTTTGAGAATTTAAAAGCAGCTTTGTGTATTACTTCGTTTTTCTTGTCAAGGAAGAATTGACCGATGTAATTATATAAATAATTCTCAAGAGAAAAATTCTGATTAGTTTTTCTATAGATAGACTTGATATTTTCAATTCATCTTTCCAAAACAATCGACAGAATAAGGATTTTTATTTAAGCAGATTGGTGGACAGATTTATATACATCAATGTAGTATTGATGATTTATCAACTAATGGAACAGTTGATGTATCCGATCAAGGAACAGAATCATTTAAAATATTTACTACATTGATTTTAGTATGTGCAAGAATTTTGAATATGAATTATTATTTGTACCAAAGAAAGAAAATAAAATTTGTTCTTCTTTTAAATCCATAAATTTTCTTTTTGGTAAATTTGATATTTCACTTGTGTTTATTGATTAAACGATAAAAATTTCAATTACACATGCTTTCCACTTCCTGACATACTCATCACACATACGTGTATAGTAATCCTTGAACTGTTTAATGTTTTGTCCTTTATTTCTATAGGTTGCAGCCTTAATCGCCTGATTTTTTTTTGACAAATATATAATAAGAATCTTCGGACAACTGTCAAAAAAAAAGTTATTTGCCAAGTTTCAGAAGCATTTCCATACATGAGGGTTAAGACAAGACTTAAGAATCCACGATCAACATTAGGTAAATCTATCAAAGAAATTTTAAATCGAGCAGGCAAGCGACAAATTTCACATCCAAAGCAAAACCAAACTTACGAAAACGATGATTCTGCATCAGAAAGTCGGCGAAGTAGTACAAGAATTAACGAAATCCTACATTTTCAAAATAATTTTGTAAGAAACAATTCTAATTCAAATTTCATATTAGAAAGTATATCAGAAGAAGCCGAAGATCAATTATTTAATGAATCACCAATTAAAAAATCTATTAATAATAAAATTTCTGAAATAATTCCATCACAAGACCAATTACAGCTTGACGACATTACAGAAGAAAAATCCGAAATAAATACATCAATAATTTCCACAAATACAAAAAATTCATATTCATATCTTGAAGAAGAAGAAAAAGAAGATAATTTCGAGTTTTATCCAGAATATGACTATTACAAACCTCGTCAACCTTACGAAAAACCTAAGAAAGGCTCAAAAAGAGTCAAAAGAAAACAAATGCTGCATTTATTGAAGAACAACAAGAATTAAACACAGGAATTGATATTATATTGAATATGAATATTCATATGAAGAAGAAGACAACGAAGAAGTTTTGTTTCTTGGAATTCCAAAAGACGGAGTTTATGCTAGTGATGACGATCATCGTGGCTTTCGTGTTAGTAAATATCCTAAACTGAACAGATACGAAACAGATCCAGATAAATATCAGGTCATTTCGACAATGAATTATCGATCTCGACTTTCAGAGTCAGTTTTGTCTAATGAAACATATCTATTTGAGTTCAACCATATATTCGATAGTGACCCAGATAAAATATCCCCTTTAACTCTTAAAAACGGATCAAGATTTATATTCTCTTCATCAAGTGATGATGAATCCGGACTCAAACAAGACAAATTCAATACACCAAAGAAGTATAATTACAATACACCTAAAATTAGCAAATCAACAACAAAAATTTCACAAAAAGAAAATTATCAACAATCAACTCCAAAAACGACAACAAATAAAGAAACCCATTCAAAAACCTCGCCATTTAAACGAAAATTCCTCGATAATTCTAGTTCAGATGAAGATAATTATAAATCTACTCCCAGAATCAAAAGAGACAATGCCAAATCTGCCTATAATCATAATAATAAGTTCCTTAAAGGAATTGATTAATTGTTTTATTTGTTTGTATTTATAAATTGTTATATTATTCATCTTTTTATATTTTTCTTTGAATACAATGCCTGGATTATCTTTATCTTCTCGAGTTAAAAATAAATCATCATCAACAGGATCGGTCATTATAAAAATATCTGACAAATAATTTATTTGTTTCATCATTTATGGAGTTTGGAGTTACCCAGAGAAATGTGTTATCATTACATTGAATACGATAATATAATTTGTTATTATCAGCTCGATGAGAAGTAACACGTATACAATAGATTTCCCAGACTTATAAAAAATGAATAATTCTGAACAGCTATACTTTTGATTTAACCAAACTAACAGATAAATAATAAATATTTGATGAATATTCCAGTGAATTTCATTTTTTTATGAAGGAAGTTCACTTTTGGTGTCACCCCCATCCTTTTTATTACTTTTGCAATGTGTCTAAAAACTCATTGTTTAAGTGCAATTAATTGTACTCGAGAAGTATCCCCATAGCGATGCTAATCAAGATAGCATTTGGAACCTTTACTATGAAGGAATTAGTCCTCCTTCCAAAGTTTTTACCGGTGAAGTTGAAAAAGTCACAGCAACATCTAGCAAATGCTTTGCATACATCTGCAAGTTTATCAATCTTCAAGATAGAGCAGTTAAATTCGAATATACAAATGTTACTCGATTTTACTTTGCGAAAACGTTTTTTCAGAAGGTTCAGGTACAGTATATATTTATAGTTATAGTAAAAATAACATTATTATTGATAAATTCTGTTCATTTGAAAGTCAAACTCCTACAGATGGCCAATTTACTTATTTATATGGCAAAATTAACAGTACACTCCTCCAAGGATCAATTTGTAATGGAGGAAATAGTTCAGTATATTGGATGATTTACCAGCAATATGGTTTTGCATCACTTTCAAAAACAAACATTTCTAACTGTATATCAGCAGGTTCTACAGGTTTTGCTTATGTTGAAAGTAAATCAACAGTAAATGTTTCATTTTGTAATTTTGAGAATTTAAAAGCAACTGGTTGTGGTATTACTTCGTTTTCTCATTGTCAAGGAAGAATTGACCGATGTAATTATATAAATAATTCTCAAGAGAAAAATTCTGGATTAGTTTATATTTCTATAGATAGACTTGATATTTTCAATTCATCTTTCCAAAACAATCGACAGAATAATGGATTTTTATTTAATGCAGATTGGGGTGGACAGATTTATATACATCAATGTAGTATTGATGATTTATCAACTAATGGAACAGTTGATGTATCCGATCAAGGAACAGAATCATTTAAAATTATTTTTTACTACATTGATTTTAGTATATGTGCAAGAGATTTTGAATATGAAATATTATTTGTACCAAAGAAAGAAAATAAAATTTTTCTTCTTTTAAATCCATAAATTTTCTTTTTGGTAAATTTGATATTTCACTTTTGTTTATTGATTAAACGATAAAAATTTCAATTACACATGCTTTCCACTTCCTGACATACTCATCACACATACGTGTATAGTAATCCTTGAACTGTTTAATGTTTTGTCCTTTATTTCTATAGGTTGCAGCCTTAATCGCCTGATTTTTTTTTGACAAATATATAATAAGAATCTTCGGACAACTGTCAAAAAAAAAGTTATTTGCCAAGTTTCAGAAGCATTTCCATACATGAGGGTTAAGACAAGACTTAAGAATCCACGATCAACATTAGGTAAATCTATCAAAGAAATTTTAAATCGAGCAGGCAAGCGACAAATTTCACATCCAAAGCAAAACCAAACTTACGAAAACGATGATTCTGCATCAGAAAGTCGGCGAAGTAGTACAAGAATTAACGAAATCCTACATTTTCAAAATAATTTTGTAAGAAACAATTCTAATTCAAATTTCATATTAGAAAGTATATCAGAAGAAGCCGAAGATCAATTATTTAATGAATCACCAATTAAAAAATCTATTAATAATAAAATTTCTGAAATAATTCCATCACAAGACCAATTACAGCTTGACGACATTACAGAAGAAAAATCCGAAATAAATACATCAATAATTTCCACAAATACAAAAAATTCATATTCATATCTTGAAGAAGAAGAAAAAGAAGATAATTTCGAGTTTTATCCAGAATATGACTATTACAAACCTCGTCAACCTTACGAAAAACCTAAGAAAGGCTCAAAAAGAGTCAAAAGAAAACCAAATGCTGCATTTATTGAAGAACAACAAGAATTAAACACAGGAATTGATATTGATATTGAATATGAATATTCATATGAAGAAAAACAACGAAGAAGTTTTGTTTCTTGGAATTCCAAAAGACGGAGTTTATGCTAGTGATGACGATCATCGTGGCTTTCGTGTTAGTAAATATCCTAAACTGAACAGATACGAAACAGATCCAGATAAATATCAGGTCATTTCGACAATGAATTATCGATCTCGACTTTCAGAGTCAGTTTTGTCTAATGAAACATATCTATTTGAGTTCAACCATATATTCGATAGTGACCCAGATAAAATATCCCCTTTAACTCTTAAAAACGGATCAAGATTTATATTCTCTTCATCAAGTGATGATGAATCCGGACTCAAACAAGACAAATTCAATACACCAAAGAAGTATAATTACAATACACCTAAAATTAGCAAATCAACAACAAAATTTCACAAAAGAAAATTATCAACAATCAACTCCAAAAACAACAACAAATAAAGAAACCCATTCAAAAACCTCGCCATTTAAACGAAAATTCCTTGATAATTCTAGTTCAGATGATGATAATTATAAATCTACTCCCAGAATCAAAAGAGATAATGCCAAATCAGCCTATAATTATAATAATAAGTTCCTTAAAGGAATTGATTAATTGTTTTATTTGTTTATATTTATAAATTGTTATATTATTCATCTAGTTATATTTTTCTTTGAATACAATGCTTGGATTATCTTTATCTTCTCGAGTTAAAAATAAATCATCATCAACAGGATCTGTCGTTATAAAAGTACCTTACAAATAATTTATTTGTTTCATCATTTATGGAGTTTGGAGTTACCCAGAGAAATGTATTATCATTACATTGAATACAATAATATAATTTGTTATTATCAGCTCGATGAGAAGTAACACGTACGATAGATTTCCCAGACATTATAAAAATGAATAATTCTGAACAACTAAACTTGTGAATTAACAAAATTAAAACATAAATATTAAATATTTGATGAATGTATCATTGAATTTCACTGAAAGTTTTACCCCCATCCTTTTTATTACTTTTGCAATGAGTCAAAAAACTCATTGTTTAAGTGCAATTAATTGCATTCGAGAAGTATTCCCATAGCGATGCTGATCAAGATAGTGTTTGGAACCTTTATTATGAAGGAATTAGTCCTCCTTCCGAAGTTTTTACCGGTGAAGTTGAAAAAGTCACAGCAGCATCTAACAAATGCTTTGCATACATCTGCAAGTTTACCAATCTTCAAGATAGAGCAGTTAAATTCGAATATACAAAAGATTACTCGATTTTACTTTGCGAAAACGTTTTTTCAAAAGGTTCAGGTACAGTATATATTCAAAGTTATAGTAAAAATAACATTATTATTGATAAATTCTGTTCATTTGAAAGTCAAACTCCTACAGATGGCCAATTTACTTATTTATATGGCGAAATTAACAGTACACTCCTCCAAGGATCAATTTGTAATGGAGGAAATAGTTCAGTATATTGGATGATTTACCAGCAATATGGTTTTGCATCACTTTCAAAAACAAACATTTCTAACTGTATTTCAGCAGCTTCTACAGGTTTTGATTATATTGAAAGTGAATCAACAGTAAATGTTTCATTTGTAATTTTGAGAATTTAAAAGCAACTGGTTGTGGTATTACTTCGTTTTCTCATTGTCAAGGAAGAATTGACCGATGTAATTATATAAATAATTCTCAAGAGAAAAATTCTGGATTAGTTTATATTTCTATAGATAGACTTGATATTTTCAATTCATCTTTCCAAAACAATCGACAGAATAATGGATTTTTATTTAATGCAGATTGGGGTGGACAGATTTATATACATCAATGTAGTATTGATGATTTATCAACTAATGGAACAGTTGATGTATCCGATCAAGGAACAGAATCATTTAAAATTATTTTTTACTACATTGATTTTAGTATATGTGCAAGAGATTTTGAATATGAAATATTATTTGTACCAAAGAAAGAAAATAAAATTTGTTCTTCTTTTAAATCCATAAATTTTCTTTTTGGTAAATTTGATATTTCACTTTTGTTTATTGATTAAACGATAAAAATTTCAATTACACATGCTTTCCACTTCCTGACATACTCATCACACATACGTGTATAGTAATCCTTGAACTGTTTAATGTTTTGTCCTTTATTTCTATAGGTTGCAGCCTTAATCGCCTGATTTTTTTTTTGACAAATATATAATAAGAATCTTCGGACAACTGTCAAAAAAAAAGTTATTTGCCAAGTTTCAGAAGCATTTCCATACATGAGGGTTAAGACAAGACTTAAGAATCCACGATCAACATTAGGTAAATCTATCAAAGAAATTTTAAATCGAGCAGGCAAGCGACAAATTTCACATCCAAAGCAAAACCAAACTTACGAAAACGATGATTCTGCATCAGAAAGTCGGCGAAGTAGTACAAGAATTAACGAAATCCTACATTTTCAAAATAATTTTGTAAGAAACAATTCTAATTCAAATTTCATATTAGAAAGTATATCAGAAGAAGCCGAAGATCAATTATTTAATGAATCACCAATTAAAAAATCTATTAATAATAAAATTTCTGAAATAATTCCATCACAAGACCAATTACAGCTTGACGACATTACAGAAGAAAAATCCGAAATAAATACATCAATAATTTCCACAAATACAAAAAATTCATATTCATATCTTGAAGAAGAAGAAAAAGAAGATAATTTCGAGTTTTATCCAGAATATGACTATTACAAACCTCGTCAACCTTACGAAAAACCTAAGAAAGGCTCAAAAAGAGTCAAAAGAAAACCAAATGCTGCATTTATTGAAGAACAACAAGAATTAAACACAGGAATTGATATTGATATTGAATATGAATATTCATATGAAGAAGAAAACAACGAAGAAGTTTTGTTTCTTGGAATTCCAAAAGACGGAGTTTATGCTAGTGATGACGATCATCGTGGCTTTCGTGTTAGTAAATATCCTAAACTGAACAGATACGAAACAGATCCAGATAAATATCAGGTCATTTCGACAATGAATTATCGATCTCGACTTTCAGAGTCAGTTTTGTCTAATGAAACATATCTATTTGAGTTCAACCATATATTCGATAGTGACCCAGATAAAATATCCCCTTTAACTCTTAAAAACGGATCAAGATTTATATTCTCTTCATCAAGTGATGATGAATCCGGACTCAAACAAGACAAATTCAATACACCAAAGAAGTATAATTACAATACACCTAAAATTAGCAAATCAACAACAAAAATTTCACAAAAAGAAAATTATCAACAATCAACTCCAAAAACAACAACAAATAAAGAAACCCATTCAAAAACCTCGCCTTTTAAACGAAAATTCCTTGATAATTCTAGTTCAGATGATGATAATTATAAATCTACTCCCAGAATCAAAAGAGATAATGCCAAATCAGCCTATAATTATAATAATAAGTTCCTTAAAGGAATTGATTAATTGTTTTATGTTTATATTTATAAATTGTTATATTATTCATCTAGTTATATTTTTCTTTGAATACAATGCTTGGATTATCTTTATCTTCTCGAGTTAAAAATAAATCATCATCAACAGGATCTGTCGTTATAAAAGTACCTTACAAATAATTTATTTGTTTCATCATTTATGGAGTTTGGAGTTACCCAGAGAAATGTATTATCATTACATTGAATACAATAATATAATTTGTTATTATCAGCTCGATGAGAAGTAACACGTACAATAGATTTCCCAGACATTATAAAAAATGAATAATCTGAACAACTAAACTTGTGAATTAACAAAATTAAAACATAAATATTAAATATTTGATGAATGTATCATTGAATTTCACTGAAAGTTTTACCCCCATCCTTTTTATTACTTTTGCAATGAGTCAAAAAACTCATTGTTTAAGTGCAATTAATTGCATTCGAGAAGTATTCCCATAGCGATGCTGATCAAGATAGTGTTTGGAACCTTTATTATGAAGGAATTAGTCCTCCTTCCGAAGTTTTTACCGGTGAAGTTGAAAAAGTCACAGCAGCATCTAACAAATGCTTTGCATACATCTGCAAGTTTACCAATCTTCAAGATAGAGCAGTTAAATTCGAATATACAAAAGATTACTCGATTTTACTTTGCGAAAACGTTTTTTCAAAAGGTTCAGGTACAGTATATATTCAAAGTTATAGTAAAAATAACATTATTATTGATAAATTCTGTTCATTTGAAAGTCAAACTCCATCAGTTGGCCAATTTACTTATTTATATGGCGAAATTAACAGTACACTCCTCCAAGGATCAATTTGTAATGGAGGAAATAGTTCAGTAGATTTAATGATTTACCAATCTCAAGGTTTTACATCACTTTCAAAAACAAACGTTTCTAACTGTATTTCAGTACGATGTACAGGTTTTAGTTATGATGATGTTGAATCAACAGTAAATGTTTCATTTTGTAATTTTGAGAATTTAAAAGCAGCTTTCTGTATTATTACTGGGTTTTCTTGTCAAGGAAGAATTGACCGATGTAATTATATAAATAATTCTCAAGAAGGATATGAAGGATTAGTTGATGTTTCTTTTAGTAGACTTGATATTTTCAATTCATCTTTCCAAAACAATCAACAGAATAACAAAGGAGTTTTATTTGAAGCATATTATGGACAAATTTATATACATCAATGTAGTATTGATGATTTATCAACTGATAGAACAGTTGATACAACAGAGAGAGGAACAGAATCATTTAAGAATAATTTAACATTCATTGGATTACGTCCATGTGAAGGAAATCTTGAAATAGTATTATTATTTGTTCCAAAGAAAGAAAATAAAATTTGTTCTTCTTTTAAATCCATAAATTTTCTTTTTGGTAAATTTGATATTTCACTTGTTTTATTGATTAAATGATAAAAATTTCAATTACACAAGTATGCACTTTTCACATCCTGACATACGAACAATATTATTTTACATGTTTTTTAGAAGTACTCCAACTCTCAAAATTTTATGGTTTTTGAGCGACCAAAATTGTAATAATAAAATATTTATTTAGTAATATTAGGAATAAACCTATGTTAAAA